GTAAACTTGTTTTACATTTGTATTATTGTAAATGGACTAAGATATAGGAAAAGGAATACAAACCAACAAATGTTTTCTATTTGGAAAAAATTCTACCCTGTACGTGGGCAGCACAAATGTTATATAAAACTCATGCCTGGTTATGTGCCCTTAAAGTGTAGTATGAGCTAGTAAAAAACCATCCAAGTGAGAAACACAACGGATATGGAAGAAGATAGAGGAACTAATCCTTATAAGATAAGGCAAATCTTTCATGTCAATACAAACAGAAGATTTGGAGCTCTTGCTGTGGGCTTATTGTACTGTGGCACAGAGTTTTGAATGCCTTAACAGGTTTGTCTGTTTACCATATTCTGAGAAACACATGAAGAATATAAATTGATAAGTCTCATTTAACTCCAGGAAGAAAATAAATCCAATGCAATGCTTGTAAAAAATTGAGTTAAATTTGTATTAAGACAGTATATTGCATACTTGTAACTCATGATTTAAGTACACACTTGCTAATTAATTTATTTTGCAGAAAAAAAAGTTAATTGAAAGCATAAGTTATGATCCCTACACATTGCATGGAGAGGGTTAATTGGCCCACGGCTCTTTTTAAAACTGCTAAAAATGTACCTAAGAAGAGTGTACCATTACATCATAATTCAAAACAATAAAGTTCCCGCCCATGTCTAGATTTATGTTAAACTTTAAATTAAGACTGTCTTGAAACAAGGATAGCAAATACATAGCACATGAGAATCATCTCTTATGATGTCAATGACAGACATCATTAATAGGTCACATTGTCCTTTCCTTCTCAGCTCAGATGCAGGGACAGAATCCTTTGCATAGTGTTTCAGGGAGTCACTACCAATCAGTTGGGTTAGTTCATAAAAGGAAGACATTTTTGCCATGTATACCTTTTATTAAACAACTTATCCCAAGAAAGTTGTCTTACTTAGGAATCTATAGTGAACAAGAATGATTTCAACTGCAAAAACAAGGAAACCAATTCAAAGTATTTTATGATAATTTTTTGGTTCACCTTAGCTAAAATGTCAAGTTGTGTTCTAGGTACAGGTTTTAGTAAATAGTTCAAGCGTAAGTCCAAGGCAGGTCTGTCATTGTCTTCCTTTGGGTAGGGTGCCCTTGATTGCTCTAGTCACTGTAGACAGAGGGATGGAAAATATTCGTTGGTTATGCCTGTGTCACGTTCCTGGACCAGGGGTAGAGAGTGAGCATCAGGATCAGCCTCAACTCAGCCACATAGGAGATATTATTCCCTAGGGTTGGTTGAGCTGAATGAATGTAGATAAATGCTGGGTAAGCAAAAAACAAAAGATATCCACAGTAGACTTCATTTGTATTTTTCTTGACTATTCTGAAACTGTTCTGATAACAGAGATTATAGTTACTTTAGTTAGGGTAAAGGCTAAACAGTTATAATACAGAGACCCCAAACAACACTGGCTCAAAGAATAGAGAAGTTCAATTTTTTATGGTAAATAGGCTCTGATCCACCGAGTCATTCAGGGATTCAGGCTAATGGGGTTTCTTCTGTCATCCTCAACATGAGCCTTTCACCATTGAAAGCTAGCTAGCTAGAAGGAAAAGAGAAGTGAATTTAGAGGTTATCTTTAAGTAGATGACCTGGAAGTTGCCAGCAGCATTTCTCCTCATGTCTCTTTTTTGAGAACCTAGTCCTGAGGCCAAATCTGGTCACAAAGAAGACTGGGAAATATAGTCTTTATGTGGATGCCATATGTCCAGGAAGAAGAAAAGAACAGACTAGTAAGGGTATGGGAAGTGGATAGCAGTCAGCAGCTGCCACAAACTCTTATATTAATGAGACTCACTTGATCTCTCCTTTTTTTCCAACATGTTTCCTTTATGTAGAGAAAGAAACCTATTTTTAAAATCAACTGGACAAAACAGAAGAAAGGATAAGCAGAGACCTTTATTTTGGCTATTTGTGTCTGTAAAGATAAGCCCTTACACTGCTGGTATCACTCACCTTGTCTTGTTTGCTACAGTAGAATTGGAATAAATTAAATCAACTTCAAAGAAGACAGTGGCCTGTCATATTCTAAAATTATATTAGAAATTGGAAGATTTTCAGTATATTCTAAGTCATGAACCAGTAGTATAACTTTGAGAAAATTTCTGAACCTTATTCTTCTCAAATGTAATAGGAAGCTATAGGAAAATATGTTTTCTGAGGTCTCTTCCAGATTGAAAAGATTTTGTATTGTGTTGGAAATAGAGAGGTTTAGATAAAATTCCATACTCCAAAAATATCGGCACTTTCCCCAACAAATAGAAACTCATTTTATAACCTAGTTCACAGGCCTTTGAGAGAAGACCCGGCTGTGTAGGACTTTGTAGCAAACCACCAATAAGAGAGTAAACTAACCATAGTACACACTTCTGATTGGAGGCTGAGAAATCTTTCTGACCTATACAAATCATCAGTGGATGCCTTAAGGCATAAGATTTGATAACACTTAACATTATCTTAGTTACATAAGTATAATGTTATTAATAGCCATAAAATTACCTAGCCCTTTTAAAATCCAGTGAAATTATCTGATTCCATGACCTCCTAGTACTGAATCACACATGGTAATGATCTACGGCTTGACATACACGATTTTACCTTTTTATTCGTTCCAGAATTATTGCCCTTTGATTTTTCATACATGTCATTTTGTTCTTGTATTAAAGGACAAGTTAAAGGAGCATTGACTCTGCAGAGTTAAGATGGTCTTCTTTAGATTTATTAATATCTAAACTGAAGGTGGCTGCTTTGTACTTCCAAGGTTGCCTTTGAAGGATCTGTTCCTCAGTGGAACATCCTGCTTTCTTTTATTACAGCAGTTGGCCAGAAAACCCCTGTCGATCTGTGACTATTCGGAACTGCTAGACTGAAATGCCATTTCCAAAACTACAGCACTTCTGCTAAACAATTTTTCTAGGAAGGATGCCATATCACTAGCTACTTGGCTTTGCCTCCAATGGCCCTGGCTCTGGGAATGATACCAAATGATGGTTCGGGCTGGGGGAAGGCAGTAAATCAGCAGTAAAAGCTGAAAAATATCCCAGCTTTTAATACCTTTTATCTTTTTCCAGATGACTGGCCTATCTCTCTCACCTTCTGCTTCTACTGATGACAGTACCCCGTTTTCCCCTTCATTTATGCTTTAGTAGTAGAATTTTTATTTGACATGGTCTTCCTCAATTGTGAGAGAAAATTCACACTTTTCAAAGCTAATGCAATTAAATATCCATGTGATTCATGAGAATCTAGTTTTCCTCCAGCACTTATGTGCAGCTGTGCAATGCCTGATAGATTAGGATTGTTTGTTGAGTGGGAAATGGGTCTGAACAAAGTGTCAGACGGTAGATTGGGAGCCAGGAGAGGGTTCCAAAGCAGCAGCAGAAGGTATCTTTAGTAAACATCCACTCTGGCTGAAGGCTGCCTTCTAGTTCCAGCCTTCCTGGAAGCTGAGAGAGCGGAGCTGAGTTCCTTGGGCCAGGAAAGGCTAGATTTGAGGCCTGATACATTTGATAAGGTATTAAAAATATGCACCCATCCTTGGAGATAACAGCTATAAGATGTTTCTTGGATGTGGAAATTTAAGTCATCTGCCTCCATTTTGCATTCCTTTAAAAAATACTGTTTTCTTGGTTCATTTGCCTTCCTTTATTCTTTTCTTCTCTTGCTCCCTCCCTCCCTTCATTTCTTCCTTTTTTTCTATCTTCTTTTCTTCTCTCCTTCCCTCCCTCCCTCTTTCCTTCCTTCCTTTTCTTTCCTTCTCTCTTCCCTCTGCCTCCCTTCCTCCCTTTCTTCCTTTTTACTTTCCCTACCTTTTCTTTCTCTCTCTCCTTTCTTTAAGTTTGATTGCCTGGGGTAAAGAGTATTGCATATATGCCGACTTAATTTTTGTCCCTAGTAAGCCATGGGTGGTTCTTACTTCCTCATTTATATATAGTGTCAGATGCTCAGAAGTGTGTTATTTCCCTTTCAAGAAAAAAGCGTATGTAAGAGCTGACACTTCATCTTCTTGTTGTGGGTATTGTGCCTTGGTATTATTCTCTAATGTATTTTTGGATATGTGATTTAAAAAGAAGCAATTGGCCTTGTCTATTGTTTCCCACTATACCTTAGCTCCTAGAACGTGACTGATATATAGTAGATGCTCAATAATTTTTTTTCTTTTTTTTAAAATAACAATCCTAATGTCAAACACACAAACCACAGAGAAGGAAAGAACTATATGTTCAAGAATACTCTGTTGGTCCTGCCAAAATGGAGTTCTGAGTCTTTGGCACAGTGGATGCTTACCCAGAATGTGGTAAACTCTTGAGACCAATTTGGCTTTTTTGTCTCTCTTGTGGCTCCCTGAACTTGGACATGTTTTCCTTACAAGCACAGTATTTTTCTCTGTTGGAGTTTTACTCAATATTCCGTCTTTGTTTCTATTTTAGAAAACATGCCATATAAATAATGATGGCTGGGGCAAAGAATCAGTCCAGAGGTACCATTTAAACTCAGGACAAATCCTGCCCTCACTTGCATTTGCAATTTGCCAGTGCAGTCATTTTAGAAAACATGCCATATAAATAATGATGGCTGGGGCAAAGAATCAGTCCAGAGGTACCACTTAAACTCAGGACAAATCCTGCCCTCACTTGCATTTGCAATTTGCCAGTGCAGTCGGTAGGAACCGTGCCCACACATGAACTGACAGAATCGAGGCCCCAAGGTTAGCAATTATTAAAATGTAAAAATCCATTTATTCATTTCCAAAATATTTTGTTCAATTGCTTCTGAGGCAGAGTCGCGAGTTGCCTTCCCTCTTGATGCTCCCTGGAGTGGCATCCAATGCTGAGGGTAGCTCCCAGCTCTAAATGTCCTCATTGTTCAACACACTACATGGGAACAAAACGAGAGGGAGGGGACAGGCGGGATCTCCGTGGGCAGACCGGGGTGCGGATCAGCGGGGAGCAGCAGGCAAGAAACTCCCCTGGATCGCCCAGAGCGGATCTCGTCCCGCTCCTGCTTGTCCCTCTCCGCGCTCCCAGCCGGCTTTGGGGGGAGAAGTTTTCCCGAGGGGAGGTACCGGACGGATCGTGTGCTGGAAGAAACTCAGGTGTGTCAGGGGTGGCGGTCAATTTGCATGTCTATTGCTAGCCCTGGAGGCTCTCCCGACCCGCCCCTTAGCCAACTCTTTGAGCGAGAGGGAGGAAGGATTAAGGGTTTGCTACCGGGAGGAGGGGATCAACTCATTATGGAAAGTAAGTGGTGCGCAGTCGGGGATCCATTCTTGCCTAAAATGGGGCCGATCGAGGTCCCTCAGCCTTAACCCGGGAAGAGACACCCCTTTCCCAGCCCCGCGCCCAGGTGGCTGAGGCTGGATTCAGACAGCTCGGGGTCAGTCGGATGGAGTAAATGGGGTCCTCGAGTCCCCCAGCTCCCCTGGTCACCGGTAGGTTGACCCTCCCTCTTTCCTCCAACCTCCCCAACCCCCGACCTTCTCTATTCCCTGGAGAGGATTCCAGATCCTCCTGTAGACTCCAGCCCTCTCTCGGGTGGAGGAGTCGGAGGTCCAGTTAGTTTGGGGGTCAGTCCTAGCCTCCGCCCCACTCGCCCCTGCACATCTCTTAGGTTGTGGGGCTCAGATCTTCCCCACCCGCACCGCCCCTACTTGTCCCTCCCCAAATGTCGCCAGCCTGGAATAGGGGTATTTATGGACCTTGGGTTGAGTGGGGCGGGGGGGCGGGGGGGGGAGACGAGAAACTGGGGAGGAGCAGGAGCTCCACCTCCCCAGACCACCGTGGGGGCTGGAGGGCTGGCCGGGGGCCTGGTTGCCATGGCTCCCTGGTAGCCAAGCCCGGGGACTAGAGATGCCAGTCACGGATGGTCCCTTCTTCCTCTTTGTGCCTCTCTCCCGCTCTCTCTCTCTCTCTTTTTTTTTTTTTTTTGAGTGAGAGAGTGCGTGGGGAGGGAGCAGGGAGAAAGTGATTAATTTGGAGAGCAGGGATTGGAGCCGGGAGGCTGGGGAACGCAAGCCCCTCCATTCCCACTCCTCTGGCTCGCTGCGATCTTCACTTTCTCAGCCAGGGACAGGGCTGAGGAATTCCTGCGAAAAACCGGGGGCCGGAGAAGCCGCTGCCGCCTCCCGGGCCCAGGTACCCACGCCCGGGGCGGCGCGCAGAGGCAAGCGCAGGGTGTGTGGTCGGGTTGTCAGCCGCGAAGGCGGGCAGGGGAAGGGGTGGCAGGCGAGCGGCGGAGGACAGGTGTGCAGCGGCCCGGCAGGGTGGCACGGAGGAGGAGGGAGCTACCGGCTCAGCCCTCTGAGACAGGCACCGGGGTTCCGCCCCGCCCGCGGGAGCCGCAGAGCAGCCCCAGCGGCAGCGAGTGGCTGCCGGGGCAGGCGCGTGCGCGATGGCGCGCTCCCGCTGGAACAGGCCGGGGTGCGGGGGATTTGCGCGTGCGCGCGGAGATGGGCAACTGGTGGGGCAACTGGTGAGCCACCGGGGATCTCGCGTGGCAGTCTCCCGGGGCGCCCACGTGGGTCCGAAATCCGGCTGTACCATCTCTGTGATGTGTTACTTGGACGAGCCATTTACTCCGTGCCTCAGTTTCCCCTTCTAAATAAAAGAGGTAATATCAATGCCTTCCATGTTGGGTTGTTGCAGGACTGGAACGGGATAATTCAAGTAGACAGATTAACCCCGTGTCTGATGCGTAATAGACACTGAAAAGTTGGTTATTGTCGCTGATGGCATTATTGTTAATATTAATTAACCTTCGATTTAATTAGATACGGTGCATTCTCATTTCTCTGAATCTTTATTGAAGGCAAAATTGTGTTTTGTAATTTTGGAGAATTAATCTCAATATTAATATTATTACTGCCCAGTCTAACTCCTATAAAGGTGTGGTTTGCAGCAGCTTGGAAGAGATAAAATGAGCAACTAACTACTGGTCAAGTTGGCTTTTCAGGATGCTGAAAGCTATTTGGGAAAATTTTTGGTGACAAGAAAATAAAGTGTATTCCATAGTTTCGTGTGTAAGATTTTGTGCTTCCTCTTTCACTTGCTGATGTTACAGCTGGGTTTGTCTTAATTTCAGTCTTTTTGTGATGAACCACCCCGTGGTTTTCATCATTTAAGTTGGTATTGGAGTCTAGTATATATCCTGGCTTTCCATTGTATTGCCTTAAGTGCTGCAGTGGATTTACCTCTAGTAATGGCAGCCTGTAGTGTATAATCATTCCTTGCAAGCTCCTGAATATTGTCAGGGACTAAATGGAGACAAATAGTTATTACTTGGGCGGGTGTGAGTGCTGCCTACAGCAGTTCATTAATATCTTGTTCAGGTCATGTTTGTACCCACTTTACTGCAGAAGCACAGGACTATGATGATTAATATATATTTTCCAGATTGTTCTGTTGCATCTAGACTTCGGAGTCTCTTCTTTTAAAGGGAATGCTATAGATGTTATTGATACCTCATGGTTACATAGGTGCTCTAACTTATCAGGAGATTAGCTAACTGTATATCTCATGGATCTAATTTCAGGTCTGACAGTAGTTGTTATTATATTTATTACCTTTAAGTTAATTCATTCCATTAAATGAACTGGTTTTAAATAAATTTTTTAGAACCATTTGGTTATTAAAATATAGGCATGTCTTCGAGGACTTGAGGCAAACAAAGCCAGACAGATGTCACTATCACAAAGATCCTTAGTGCATTTTATGAAATAGAAGTCACCTAGAAAAACATTTGCTGGATAGAAGCTTGATTTTATAGTTACTTCTGACAGCTTTGAAGATAGGAGGTTGTTTGGCCCCAAATTGCTTTGTTGAAGTAATTTAGCCTAATTTGCTTTTATGGAGAATTAAATAAGGGTGATGATCAAGACTGATTTAAGATTCCAGTAATTTTTAACTGATAAAGGAAAATTAGGTAATAGAGGGGAACTGATGGCATCAGTTTTGAAGGAATGAGTGTCAGTTCAGGTAGTAGAGTATTACTTCGAGTTTGGCTTCTGCAAGACAATGCTCTCATCTTCAAAGTGAATTTGTCATCTTTAAAAGGTACCTTGAGGAATTAGTGTGACAGCTTGTCTGAAATTCATGTGATCATTTACATATTGTTTCCCAGGAGCTTTGGCATTAAATGTTTCATTTATTGGAAATTATTTTGCCCTTTGACTTATGACAGCCTACAGTCCAATAGAATCTAATATATTTTAGAAACAAAAATTTAGTTTTTCAGCATTTTGTATTTTCCCTTAAAATCTGAGCAGTAATGCAATTGGAAAGCTTAAGTTAGGCCAAAGACAAAGGGTGGCAGTAGAAAAACATAGCATATCGGGAGGTGTAGAGTCCTCAATTTGGGGAGCTAATTGACATGCGAAGATATGATCAAGAGGATGAACTTGTCTCTGTACTAAGGCAGTTTTCAATGATGTAGTATTATCTGATTTAATCAGCTCTCGTTGTTATTTTTTCAAACCAAGGCTGAGAATACTATATTTTCAATTATGAACATTTTGATTACAGCTTCATTCTAACTAATTCAGTCTGAAGAGAATGCAATTATTATGGTGATTTACATACAATATGCTGAGTTAACACAGCTAATGAGTGAAAGCACAATATTCTTTTTATTCATTCCTGAAAAAATATTATGCTAAGCATTCTTTCAAAGAAAAGATTACATTATTCGCCAGCATTTTATGTCTACCTACAAGTAGAATTGGCATCGAGCCATTTTCTCTACTATTAAAGTGAAATCTCTTACATTTTAGTGGTCACACGTCCTCCTCATCTTGGGGGGATTGTAAACAATTCTCAATTTAATTAGATATGGTGCTTTCTCCTTTCTCTACATCTTTATTGGAGGAAAGAGTCTGTATTTTCTAATTTTGGAGGCTGGTTAACACCTAAAACATTACTAATTACTGCAGTTTATTTTACGTGTGTTGCAACAGTGTAGTTAGTTAATTATAGCTTTCTCATTAGCACCATGTAGAGAATAATGAATTAACACTTCCCTTTGATCAAAAGAGCATCTAAGTTTATCTTCTGAGAATAAAAGTGTTATTGTGTTACCAAAAGTCACTATAATTTTCCCAGGAAACAAATTGGTTGGAATTCTCTAGCACTCGGTTAGGAAGCCTGATGAATGAGATGGCTTGATCACAAACAAGAGAGGGTAGAGCTGTGGTTGCTTGGCAACCTAACATTATTCTGCAATTTCTTCTGGTATATTTATCCAGTAAACTAGAAAATTCTGTTTTGTTAACGAATGTTTTTAGCCAGTGCACAAATAGACCATAACTAATTGAGATTTTATGTATTGTGGGTAAAAAATGATCCTACTTACCTTCCCATTGTGTTTAGATAATAAAAATACAAAGAGACATAGTCTCTTTTCAATTTTTAAAATTTTGTCTAAAAAAAATGTTCCTTTCATTTTCACATAATTTGGTCCTACCAAAAGAATACAACTTGTGTATCTCTTTGGAAGTCAAATTTGTGTGTGTGTGTGTGTGTGTGTGTGTGTGTGTGTGTGTGTGTGTGTGTGTGTGTGTGTGTGTGTGTGTGTGTGTGTGTGTGTGTGTGTGTGTGTGTGTGTGTGTGTGTGTGTGTGTGTGTGTGTGTGTGTGTGTGTGTGTGTGTGTGTTTGTTTATACACATAAGTTCAATAAGAATCAGAAGTAGAGTTTGAGATGAGATGAATTCTTCAAAAATCATGCTTTGCTAGTCAAACTGACAATTTGGTAATTTTAGGGTGGGTATAAATATCCAATTCAAATGATGCTGGCAGATGATAATAGCAACAATTATAAATGTATTGAATTTGGCAAGTATATAAATGTAGTCTGTGCTTTGGCCAGGGTTTCTTCTCCTGGTGGTTCTATCACTTTTTCACTTCTGATACTTGGGTGGGTCTTATTTCCTCTGTAGCTGTGGAAGTAGGAGCTCAGAGAGGCAATTGGTTGCACATCTCCAGATCCACTTCTTCCTAACCAAGGTGCTACAGTCATACCGTTTTCCTATACAGCCTATGAATTTTAGTGTGCATCTCAGTTCCTTCTCAGATCGTAAACTTCTTGAGGGCACACGTTCCATT